TCACATCACAGTGGAGTCAGCTGTCTTAACCGTGGCTTGTGTACTGCAAACACATACCAGCTTCATCACTGTGTCTGTCACGCGACTCTGTTCCCCTTTCGGGCTCTGTCTTTACATTTATTTTGAAAGATGAAGCTCGTGATTATGGTAAGGGGCGTTACATTTCCGAAGCGTGCTTGCGGTGTTCAGCCAATCACAATGCACTGGGTCAGCTGGCCAATCAGAGCAGACTGTGCTTGTCGGAAGGAGGGACTTTGTTTGAGAGAGGCGGGGCATAGAGGACCTACAATAATATACAGTATTTGAAAAATAATGTGTTTTTTGAGCATTAAAGCATGTCAACATATTCTGTTACACCAAATACACAAAATAATGATCTTTACAAAAAGCATCATATGACCCCTTTAAGAGTTTAGTAAAAGCACTGAAGTGCTTTGAGTATGACAGGGTTGACAGTGGCATTAACTTATGGGAGAAAATACGATCACAATGGGATAAAGATAAAGAAGTGCTTGTGTGGTAAATGTGTTAACAGTTCCCTTAATAAATAACCAGATCAGATCTTCACACAATGCAAATACTCTAGTCCTTTAAGCTAACTTCAGTGGCATGTAACTAACTATGGGGTCTCTGCTTAGGACAAAGAAATAGAAGTAAAGCAAACCTACAGTCCTCTTAAATCACAGTGAGTTTGTTTCATTATCAGTTAAACAGACTGACTAGAACTAGAACTAGTAGCAGTTGGATCTGAGCACTGGGATAATCAGGCTTCCACGGTAACTTGCACTATTTACACTGTCCTTTGTTTAAGCAATTATATAACAACAATGGCAACACCGACTAAAAGCAGATTTCATAGTAACATGTCGCCTATATATCCACACGTTTGCCTTCCTTACCTGATTAATGGTTAATAGTGAGCGCCTCTCTGTGTAGCATCTACGTAACGTCGCTAGCTGGACATCGTAAAACACATGAGTGATGATGGAAGGACTTAAGTACACGCCCACTGAAGCGCTATTGGTCGCGTCCTGTAAGCCACGCCCACGTACAGTCCGACTCGTTTCCGCGAATCGGTTCATTTGAACACTTCGTTTCAAAGTCATTTCGGCCTGGTTTGTGAAAGAACCGTTGTTGCGAACCGATTTAAAGGATTTGGCTCGTTCACAAATCATCGTTATTTCTTTATTGTACACGTGTTTAAATAAAAGAAAGATGAAGCAGCAGGTCGTGTACAATTTTACGATCATTAATTATCTGCAGCGACTACTCACAATATCAGATTGTTAAAAACGACTAGTTACTTTTCCATTGTTTACTTTTCCAACTCCCTTGATAATCTCGCTGTTAGCCTGCTAACTGCACAGCTACCTGTTTTCTAAACTAACGGCTAGTTGCTCCCGCACAAACACATGAATATTGTTAGGTAAAGTTAGCTTTAGCTAGGAGACGGGTTTTGCTCGGGTTTCTCTGATTGGTGATAACGCCCGTTCATAAACTCTCCTCCGCACTCCGGACGATTACTATATCGATGTCGCCGGATTAGAAGAGCTTGCTTTATTGGCTTGCACTATTAAAATGTTTGCGAAGTGTGCTCGGCGTTGGCCAGCTTCCCTTCCCTTCCCCCACCGAGAGAGAAACACCGAGAGTGTGTTAGTTTTGAGACTCCAGCCTTCACTTTAACCTAGACTTCACCAAGAGACTTCAATAGTTTCCCGGCGTTGACGTTTTGCCTTATAGACTGTCCCATGTGCCATATATATATATATATATATATATATATATATATATGTGTGTGTGTGTGTGTGCATATGTATGTGTATATATATATATATATATGTGTGTGTGTGTGCATATGTATGTGTGTATATATATATATATATGTGTGTGTGTATATATATATATACGCTAACCTAAAATCAAAAGGCACTTTGTTCGAAATAACAAGCAACCATTAACTCTATAAAAGCTTTGTATTATGTTAACGAATCATACCATTCATCTGAATAACAAAAGTTATAAAAAGTGAAAATTATCTCATATGACTTTATTAATACTAAAATGTTAAGCAAAATGATGTTTTCAGTTATTATTAGTCCCTTTCATTGTGTGGCAACTTAAAATCTGCCCAAAAATCTCATGATGCGTCCCACTGAATAAAAGAAAGTCAATCGAGTTTGCAACAAATTGAGGAGTTTTCAAAAGACTGTCCCTTTAAGGCTTTTTCCTTGCAACGTTTACCTTTCTTTAAAGGGCATGTGAACTGACTCCGCCCACTCAGGAAGGCTAATCTATCCAGCGTTACTAGCTCACTCGCACACGTGCGGATTCCACTGATGCTCACGAGTGAATGATTAACTGAGCTGCTGCAATGATCACAGCGGGCTGTTGTTCAATGCGTCTGTTTGCGGTCTGACTGGGTTTGTGCTGTGCAGATTCATTATGGCAGCTCTGCGTGCGGCAAAACAAGCTTTGAGAAGAGAAATCAAGGGTCGAGTGGCTGCAGTGAGTGATCAGGAGAAACTAAGACAGTCTCGAGTTGTCTCGCAAAAGGTAAATGTCACTGACCTGCCAGAGGAAAGGAACAAGCCTTCAGTGGCCTTGCAGCAGTTAGATTGTAGCACATGCATGACATCTGAGTTAAGAGGCTATGGGAACGTTCTGGGAGCCTACGAACTTTAGGGGAACGTTCTATTTACGTAAAGAACACATTCCTGGAACGTTAGAATGCCAGAGTTTGGGAACGTTCTGGGAACCAAAAATCGTTAGCTGGGTACTTAGTTCACAACCCCCATGAAAATGTTATTTTGCTGTCTCAGGGTACAGAGATCATTTCTTAATCACTTAATACGTCGTGTTTATTATATCGCAGCAAATATGCCCAAATACGAACTTTTATCATGTATAATTATTTAATATGTCATTATAAAAAAAAATAATGTCACATTCTCTACTCCCACATTGCTTTTAAAGATCTTGGATATAAAAAAAAAGGCAGAATATTTTCTGCACATTATTTTGAAGTGTCTTTACATCCTGGTCTCCTGCTTATTTTTTCTGTTTAGGCATTTCTGTGAGGGGCCATGGAACTGATTAGAGAAAAACAGTGGAAAATTAGTAAATAGATAAATATACAAATCAGTATTATATTTAAATGTCAATAGATGCATAGTATATTATTACAATAAAAAAAAAAAATGCAATAATACATTAAAACAGTACATTAGAGAGTAGAAAAAAAAATATGATTTTATATATATATATAAATAAAAATTATATTTAAATAAGTAAATATACAAGTATATTTAAGTCAACAGATAAATAATACATTACATACAATAATATATAAACAACAGTACAATCATGAGTAAAAAAAATACAAACTAAATATTTTTCAAATAACATTTACATTTACATATTTTTATTATTATTATTATTATTATTATTGACAGTATAAATTGTGTCTTTATACAAGAAACCGTATAGATGCCTCTTAAATTTAAGGATGGGTGGGGCCCTGCATGATTATTATAATGTTTATTAGTCCGTGGCATCTAAAAGATTGAAAACCCCTGCTTTAGAGGTTATTGACCCTCAAACCACACGTGTTGCACGTGTGGTTTGAGGGTCAATAACCTCTAAAGCAGGGGTTTTCAATCTTTTAGATGCAACTTGTGTGAATGTTCATACTCTTAATCCCAAAATGGTTGACATTTGCTGGTGTGTGGAGTAGGGATGTAACGATTACTTTTTAAAAAAGCAGTAGCAGTACTGAACCATATTTTGTAAATGACTAAACATAAACATATTAATTATTATATTGATCATTGAAGTTATTTCATAGTTAACTAATGTTAAAAAAGAAACTTTTAAAATGTAAAAATATAGCCTATTAGTAATAGTAAATGTTGAAATGAACACACTAGGAACAATACTTTTACAGCTTTCATTAATATTACAAAAGGACTCTTACTGTAAAGTATTACCATTTAATTTCAACAGTCATGCTTAAAGGTGGCCATCTTTAAATATCTACACAAGGCCATAGCATTAAAATTACATGTTATTGATATTGCATGTGTACTCTCACACTTTATTTGCTTCTATTTTAGAACACTGCATGATTATCTAATCAAAATTAAAAAAATTTTGCAAGTCACACACTGGACAAAAGCGCACTGATGCGTTCTCGGAGAAGTCACACACCAGACGCGTCACTTTCAATTCAAGCAGTGGTCTAAAACTGTTTATTTAATCGCCAAGCGGACATAAGTTTGCTTCAAGAATGAACAATGTGGCATAAATGAGTTTGAAGTTCGGTGTTTAAAAAAAACAGAGCAAAGAGAAAGTGCGATCTGTATTACAGCTCTCTATATGAAGCATAAAGACTGTATTAGAGAAAGAGCACAATACATCATTTATAGCCTAGGGTGAAGTCATTACGTACATTACCAATGATTTGGGACAAATATAATGTAATTTAATGGAAAACTATGTGAATGGCGCTCTGTTCCGCAGCAGGATTTTCTGCCGGCTGCATTTAAATGCATGTTTGAAGTTTCCCGCTCTGTGCAGCGCGCAGTGTCACATGTCAAAACAAACACATGCTGTTAGTGATTTCCGCCTCTAGAGGCCGCTCTCGTACTATATAATGACAGCAGACCCTTCTCAGCCACTCCAGCAACAGATGCAACCCGGAAAATTATCGGCATTGATTTTTGCCGATAACCGATAGTTCCGCCAATCAACAATCGGTGCCGATTAATCGGTCGACCTCTAGTTTTAAGTAACAGTCTCACATGCGCACAGCAGCAGAGTAGTTTCGGTTTGAGTGAAAACAGGGCGGAAAAGCTGGGAGGATTTAAAAGAGTGCTAAGGGAATTATACAAATGAATATATGAATGAATGAATTATATGAATGTACCTCTGAAGGTTCTGACTGTCTTCAGAAACGATTCGATGGCATTTTGTTTTCATCTTCGCTCCATGTATTACTTAAAGGAAGTGTTCTTAAATCGCAATACTGCTTTGTCCACGGAGGTCCACCTGCTGTCAGCGAGTGGATTTACAGAGACTTATATTTACATTCAGCCTGTGTGCAGTTTCTGTCTGGCCAAAAACGGACCGAATTTGCATGCCCTGCTGTAAATTTTGACCGGTTGATGAAAAACCAGCTTATGGGGATTCCAAACATTTAAACAATTCAGATAAGTTATCAAGAATTATTTATTGACCAGATAAAATGCGTATAATCATGTATTAATCAATTATCATTTTGACACATCTTTTCTTTATTTAAAGGCTGAAATGGGAGGTTTACCTTTTTATGAAACTTTTTCAAAGCATTATTTGAACATTTACATTAGATATTTCAACATGCTATTAAACTGTTGTCAGTCAAGTTGTCATTTAATATCCAAACATCATTGGTAATGTTATTGTTTTAGTGATTATGCAAACAAAAAGTCATTTTATTTGTTGTATGTTGATTTTTAAATATAAAACTTGAAGTGATTTATGTGTCGGTACTTTTTGAACATCTCCAGCACATTTGAACAATACCGTGATAATACTGATAACCGTGATCATGTTGGTCACTATAATCGTGTTAAGAAATTTTCATACCGTTACATCCCTAGTGTGGAAAGTGCTTTGGTTACATTTCGACTCCTAATCAGCTAAAAAATATCATTATATTTGTTCCATGTTGATGTCATTGTGTTTTTTTTCATTAATTTGTGTGTTAATACAGACACATAATGCATAATACATATCCTAGACTGAGCAATATACAACTAAGAAACACAGCCTGCGTCATGCTACAAATAGACTATGAGCAATTGTAAGTATGCTTTGTTTATCAACAACTATCCAAACTTCTGTCTAGTTGTTCAGGCATCCCAAATACCTGTCCAGCCAGCGTGTGGCTGTCTTCCTGAACATGCATGATGAGGTGCGCACAGACGTAATCGTGTTAAGAAATTTTCATACCGTTACATCCCTAGTGTGGAAAGTGCTTTGGTTACATTTCGACTCCTAATCAGCTAAAAAAATATCAATATATTTGTTCCATGTTGATGTCATTGTGTTTTTTTTCATTAATTTGTGTGTTAATACAGACACATAATGCATAATACATATCCTAGACTGAGCAATATACAACTAAGAAACACAGCCTGCATCATGCTACAAATAGACTGAGCAATTGTAAGTATGCTTTGTTTATCAACAACTATCCAAACTTCTGTCTAGTTGTTCAGGCATCCCAAATACCTGTCCAGCCAGCGTGTGGCTGTCTTCCTGAACATGCATGATGAGGTGCGCACAGACAACATCCTCCAGGACATCTTCAAGAGGGGGAAAGTCTGCTTCATTCCCAGATACTTCACCAAGAGCAGTCGTATGGACATGTTACGACTCAAGGACATGGAGGAGGTGAAGACGCTGCCCCTCACGTCCTGGAACATCCGGCAGCCAGCAGACGAGGACCACGACCGAGAGGAAGCCCTGACCACAGGTGGGATAGACCTACCCTCAAAACTCTTGTTTATTTGAGATTTATTGCAGGTAATATAAATAAAATACTAAAAGCAATTGAAATACAGCTGAATGCTGCACATTTTGCTAGATATTGTGTGTTGTTGTCTAGTGTTATGTTTAGAGGTTGACCGATATGGGTTTTTCACAGGCCGATGCCGATATTTAGAAATCAGGGCAGCCGATGGCCGATATATGATGCCGATGTGTTTGGCCGATTTTCTTTTTTCTTCTTCTTCCCCTTCATCTCATAAAAGTGAGTTTGAGTAACTGATTATTGCAGGGTACAAGATGGTAATAGTAGTAGTAGCCTAATTCAGAGTAATAATGCATGGTTCAAAACTTAAGCACCTTCTCAAAACAGTTCTGAAGCATGCTTTTTGTTCATGTTTACTGACAGACACCAGTGTCTCCCACAGACTTGCAAATGCAAATTCATTCTCTGCCAGCAGGAGGCGCTGTTGGAGCAGGAGATATAGCGGTTTCCCATTAACGGCTGTAATCTAATAAGCACTGCGCTCACAAACGCTACTTTATCAGGCATTACAGGAAAGACAAAATGAAAATGACATAGAAGCTTTTCTGAAGACGTCTTTTCACAGATACATTCATATAAAAACACCCGCGCTGCATTTTAATTTTGAAACGTGCAGTGCTCAGTTTATTCAAGGAAGTATAAGCCTTTTGGAAAATCTATTTGAGGCGATCCGTCTGTTGTGATGGGCCGCCACAAATAACGCAATGTATGGGAAACACTGGACACTTCTATAAGTCAAATGGCCAAGTGATAACAAAAATAAAAGAGTTGTCGGACCCACACATACATTTCATGAGGAAATTATCGTGCACATTATAATCAGCCCAGAAGTTTCGTCTGAATTGCATGTGTTTCTACTTTCACATGCAAATGACTTGTTGCACTTATGAATATGATAACTTTTCGGCATCAGTTCTAGCAGGGTAAAACGTGATTACGCTTTCGAAACGGTCTGTTTTGCCCTGCCATCATTAGCTGAAGCTGTGTGTGAACCAGAAGAGGCTGCAGAGTGTGAGATGCTCCTTCTCTCACGCAGCCAGAGAGAGAATTTCCGGTGTGCTGCAACAACACTTAGCTGCCCGCAGATGTGCCTGCCTATAAATCTGCCTAATTTGCAGCACAATCCGATGCCGATTAATTAAAAAAAATGCCAAAAATCGGCTGGCCGATCAATCGGTTGACCTCTAGTTATATTATCAACCTAATTCATCGTATAGGGGCTGCATGATTCAGTGAAATAAAAGCGAATTTGCAAAATAAGGCTATGTTTTAAATAACTAAATATACATTATGTGCCAGCATTATTCAGATTAAAGCCCGGCACGATGATCATTTACACATGAGCAACTCATAATCTGGTATTTTCAGTGTCTCAGAGCAACTCGATTTGCAGTAAATGCCAATGTTTAAGAAATTAAGCATACATATTAGTATTGTAATTTTGCATTTTTTTTTTTTTTAAATTAGTATTATGATTATGTTTTACTTAAATGTGTACAGTTTATTTTCCTTAGATTTATACAGTTAAATATTACAAGAGTAATATTTCTTTTATTATAAATTATTATTATTCATATTGGTTTATAATCAACTTTTTTTGGGCCAAATTGTGCAGATTAAACAGCAATTTATAAAAAAAAAAAAATTGTACTGTAAAATAAATGTATTATTATGATCATACTTTTCTTAAATACTAGGTTTTTTGCAGTTAAATATTACAATAATATGCATTACTTTTATAAATAATAATAATTGCTATTATAGTCATATTGATTTATAATCGCAACTTTTGACCAAATTGTGCAAGATTAAACAACTTATTTGAAAACTTTTCTTAAATACTAGATTTGTACAGTTTAATATTATAATAGTAATACTTATTTTTTATTAATAATAATATTATTATTATAGTCATATTGATTTATAATCGCAACTTTTTTGACCAAATTGTGCAGCCCAACAAACAAGCTTTAAAATGCATTTTAAATCACAGTTGCATTTTTAATCAGGGAAAAAAAAAAATTATTGGGATTTTTTCCTCAAAATTGTTCAGCCCTAGTACTAATAGCTGATAATGATTTGTAGCATTTAATTCAGTCTGAAAAACACTTTATAACACACCATGTACTGTGCAGTGAGGAGAAATGATCCCATCAGACATTTACTTGTAATAAAATATGCCAAATAAGTTCTGCTGCACACATTCGCAGAGCTGTTAGTTAATATTAACAATAATATTATATACTAATATAATAATATTAGTATAATTATAATGTGAGGCAAGTGTTATACAGCTATAAGGTGATGTGGAAAGGGGAATGTGTTGTACCATTAGATGGTGCTCTCATCCCACAGTTACATTTGGCTTCATATTCACTTACAGTATATTCAAAATCAGGTATTAATGTTGTATATTACATTGAACACAAGCCTTTGCATCTAAACACTAACACTAGGATATTTTCAGCTCGTTACTGTAATGTTGCATTGTGTGGTTGAGTATTTGCACTTTTCAAGTTAAATAGTGTGATACTGCATTGCAGCGTTGAAGGACTGTACGTATGCTGAATAGCAGCAGTAACGCCAAACAGCTCGACTAAAGATCGCAGCGCCACCTAGTTTTACTGTAATCATAAGATATTCTCTCTAAATGTGTGACTTAGAGCCATGCATCCATCATGAAATGCAGTTAGCAACACATTGTACTTCTATAGTATATGCATTATTAAATTAATGCAGAATATTATGGAAATGTACAGTTATGCAAGACTTGATTTTATCCATCAGAAATTGATTGGATGGTGAAAAGTGGGTGTTAACAGAAGCAAGACAGAGGTGGTTTATGTGTTTCATTGCAATAATATTTACCAATAAATCATGCACAATAAGACCACAAATGTGTATTCAGAAAATAAATGCATTAGCAGGGGATAATTTCTCTATCATTTCTCCATTATTGTGTTTTTAGTGTATTTAGTAGTTGACAGTGTTTGTCAAACTCATGCAGTATATTTTGTTATACTGCCCGAGTCATGAACTTACCATCATATTTAATATATTCCCCACGTTAATTTGCAGTAAGTGAGTTATGAATCATAAATCATGCCATTGCCTGCATACAGCTAGTATTTATGGGTTTTGTGACTCTGGGCTGTTTATGGGCATCAAAGTTGTGCTTTATCTAATCGTCCTAATTTACCATCTATACAGTTTGCTTAATCTATAATTTATCATCAGGCTAATTATAGCTTAAGTCGTACATTCTAGCAGAATGGCTTTTCTAAAGCAAATAGGAAAGAAATCACCCGTGTGGTGGAGAATATAAACTAGGCAGGTGTTACAGGACGGCAGACCCCTGTGGAGTAAGTAATAACTCTGAGATTAAAGTCTGTGTGTTTTAGCCCCAGATTTGATGGGGTGTTTGTGTATGTATGTGTGCATTAAAGAGAGAGGAGGGGATGAAATATACAGCCGTTCAGGAGAAAGGGAAAGAAAAACAGAGAAATGGGGGCTGATATGTGAACCGCACATGAGGAGGGGTGTAATCACACTGAACTGTCCTGGTGTGAGAGAGGAAAGTGGGTGTTTTTTTTTTGCATTTTGTTCCTGTGGACTGAAACAGTCACCTTGAGCTCAGGACGCCTTTCTCTCTCCCATAGAGGTGTTTGCCTTTAAAGTCTACATGAAATAAAAATTTCAAAGCTTATTTGCCTTCTAAATACAGATTTCTGGTCCTATTGTGGACGAGTCAGTGCACGTAGATTTAAAATGTTTTTAATTTGAAATCTTTCATTAATATGTATTAACTTGTTTCACCTCTGAAACAACTTTCCTGTATATGATAGTGTTAGTTTAGCATTGTTGATATACTCTTCGTTTTTGTTAATGTTTCTTAAATATGTCTATATATCATTTACTAATCCAAAAATCGGCTGGCCGATCAATCGGTTGACCTCTAGTTATATTATCAACCTAATTCATCGTATAGGGGCTGCATGATTCAGTGAAATAAAAGCGAATTTGCAAAATAAGGCTATGTTTTAAATAACTAAATATACATTATGTGCCAGCATTATTCAGATTAAAGCCCGGCACGATGATCATTTACACATGAGCAACTCATAATCTGGTATTTTCAGTGTCTCAGAGCAACTCGATTTGCAGTAAATGCCAATGTTTAAGAAATTAAGCATACATATTAGTATTGTAATTTTGCATTTTTTTTTTTTTTAAATTAGTATTATGATTATGTTTTACTTAAATGTGTACAGTTTATTTTCCTTAGATTTATACAGTTAAATATTACAAGAGTAATATTTCTTTTATTATAAATTATTATTATTCATATTGGTTTATAATCAACTTTTTTTGGGCCAAATTGTGCAGATTAAACAGCAATTTATAAAAAAAAAAAAATTGTACTGTAAAATAAATGTATTATTATGATCATACTTTTCTTAAATACTAGGTTTTTTGCAGTTAAATTATGTGTGCATTAAAGAGAGAGGAGGGGATGAAATATACAGCCGTTCAGGAGAAAGGGAAAGAAAAACAGAGAAATGGGGGCTGATATGTGAACCGCACATGAGGAGGGGTGTAATCACACTGAACTGTCCTGGTGTGAGAGAGGAAAGTGGGTGTTTTTTTTTTGCATTTTGTTCCTGTGGACTGAAACAGTCACCTTGAGCTCAGGACGCCTTTCTCTCTCCCATAGAGGTGTTTGCCTTTAAAGTCTACATGAAATAAAAATTTCAAAGCTTATTTGCCTTCTAAATACAGATTTCTGGTCCTATTGTGGACGAGTCAGTGCACGTAGATTTAAAATGTTTTTAATTTGAAATCTTTCATTAATATGTATTAACTTGTTTCACCTCTGAAACAACTTTCCTGTATATGATAGTGTTAGTTTAGCATTGTTGATATACTCTTCGTTTTTGTTAATG